GCTGCCTAAACAAATGTATTCAAAGTCTGATTGGAGTGACACACCTGTTTGTGGTTGTTAGAATTGCTTTTTAACGATTTTCACTCTCAAGGCCAGTTCTCTAAGGCATCACGTGGAAGCCTCTAGTCTGGAAGGGGAACATCTAATGCATTCCAGCGTAGGTCCGTTTCCATGTGTGTGAGGCACATCTGTTGAGACGTGAGGTCTGTCCCACCGACAGTTTCAACAAACTTTCCGGCTTACTTAAAGTGTCTGACAAAATTTGCCCCGACCGTTTAGTTGTTCTGCCACATGGCTGAAGGTCTTGTCTGAGTCACAGCTTTTTTTTAACATCAAAACTAGAAAATAAACTGAGGCTGTTCTGTAAAGTTCAATGTTTTTTTGGGGGGGGGGCTTACAGCACAATGGAAAAATATTTAAAGGAATATTCTGGATTTGGCTCTGTCAACAGCATGGCATGCTATGAAAATAATCTGGACAATGTGAAATATTTAGAGTAATGCAGTTACAGTGGAAGCCTAGTGGGTCAGCATTAAAAAGCAAAAAGATAAAGGTCATTTATGGTAAGTTTATACACTTAGTAAGTTTATTTGACCTGTAAAATTGATTTACTTTTTTAGGTGGATAAACCTCTGGTTATGCTGGTTTCCTTCAAAGTTTTTAACTGGTATTAACTGGTATTGTGCAAATACTAAGTGCAGGTAGCTTTAAACTTTTTAGTTGGTTGATAAGCTATTCTACTAAACCATTTATTGTTTCATGCTAACATGTAACGTTTGGGTGTGTGTTTTTTCACCCAAGAAAGAAGGTCATACAGCATTAGAACAAGTCCAGTGTAAATAAATAATGACTAAATTTTCATTTTTGGGTTATTCATATTACAGCATGCTTGTCTACTAGGCTTTAGTAAGTGCATTGTGGAAAACACATTATTTATTTACATTTTTTTTTCAAGTGAAATTATTTTCTGTGGTAACCACAATAAGCACAAATGCTGTCGAATGAGCTTAAGTCAACATAAAACTGATTTTTTACCATTTCCAAACCATTTTAATAAGAAGATGTATTTCAGAGTCAAGATATTCAACAAGAACATGTAGGCCAGTAGATGTTTGTAGGAAATCCCTAAGGTTAAGAAAACACTTGACAATACACTGCTTGCAACTGAGCCCAGGACTTTTTGAACCATTGGTAACTGACTGACAAGCTGTCTGTGAAAATTTGTTGACAAGTGGTTGGAGGGGCTTGGTGACATCAGCCAAAAATGAAAGTCATTCAGTAATTTTTTTTTTTTTTTTTAAGTAATGTGCACCAATCAATAATACCAGGAACATGTATTAGGAAGTAAATTAGGTTACTTTTGAAGTCACATTAACAATAAGCTCATCCAAAAATGAAATTTCTGTCATCATTTACTCACTCTCATGTTGTTCCAAACTCGTATAACTTTATTTCTTCTACAGAAAAAAAAAAAGACAAAAGGTCAATGCAATTATAATGAACGGAGACCGAGGTTTTCAAGTATGAGTAAATGATGACAGACTTTTAATTTTAAGTTGTATTTAGCTCAGAATGTTCCTTTAAAATGACCTCATCTCCTAATATGCACAAAATCAACTAGACAATAATGATGCAGTTTAATAAATAACAATTACCACACACAACAATGTATGTACATGTTCTCGTACTGCTGCAAAAGAAAACTATTATTTTAACAAAACAGAAATGCATAAAAAAAGAACTAAAAAAAACAAACTCTGAAGGCCAACTCATTCCATTGTAGTGTCCTATGTCAAAGACATCATATTTATTCTCCTTAGACAGTCTGTTTTATGTCATAAGTTGTCTTCAATGGTTTGCACAAGGAAAATATCCATCATCACATGGAGAAATATCGAGTTTAATATCATAAGGCCTGTGCTGGCGTTTTGAAAAGATGACAGTTTGTCATTGTCTCCAAGACTTTCGGCTCAGCACACACACACAAGCTACATCGATCCTTATGAGTCTCCACGCCACCAGGTTCTTGAATGAAGTCAGCGCTCGCACAAACGTGTGTGAATTGGTACAGTACGAGTTCCAATGGCGTGCATCGATTCCCAAACACCCGGATCCTCCGGTCCGTCCGCTGCTGCAGGTCGTCTCAAAAAAGTACTGCTTTTTCTTGGAGTTGTTGATGATAACATCAGGCAAGACTGTGACCTCGTTGCCCGAGATGTCTGTAGCTTTGGTTTTATTTCCCTCCCAAGTGCTAACGCTCTCACAGACGGAGTAAACTCCTCGGTGTTGAGGCGCTCCTGCTTTCCTCTTCGCCCTGCTCCTCGTCTGGTGCCCAGCGGGCTCTGAGTCGGGGGGTTGTTCGCTGAACAGAACGCGGGGTGAGCGGTACCGTCTCTTGATGAAGAGTTTAGGATCCACGGTCGGCACAGGGTTGGCCGTGACATCATCCTGTCTGCGGTCGGCGTTTTGTGGACAGATGTCACCTGAGCGCTGGGCAAACATCTGGCTGCAGGTCAAGAGCAGCAGGGCTAGCATGGACCACCGCATGGGCTCAACGTGACCTGAGTACGGCACAGGTTAATGTTAGCTTTCATCACACAGAATAGTGGTAACACAAATATAATGCCAGATTTCTTTCGATTTTCTTCTGCATAGCGATGCACAGACACTTTGGCTGATATAGGTATACAGTACTTGGCAGCCAAAGAAATGTAGATCAACAACATGACGGTTGATATCTGTAGATCTACAGTTTTAGCATTTTTTTAAAATGGAAAAAAAAAGCTCAATAAAGCTCCAATCTACAGTTTAACATGCTGAAATATTTGTGATTGAAGAATTTCTTTTTCTTTCTTTTTTTTTTTTTTGGTACTTGTTTTCAAGTAGTGAAATCAGGCATCAAAACATTATAATGTGCAATAGAATAGAATAACTGTTGGTACTTTTTCTAACTGCACAGACAAAATTTGTCCAGAAACTGTTTAATTCTGAAAAATAAGAGTATTATCTACTTGTAATACTGGCTGATTCATATATTTAAAATAATTAGTATTTATATAAAAAAAATACTTAATATTAAAATATTTTCAAATACAAATTAGCAAACCTTGTGAATGCTGATATCAGTGTCTGTTCATATTAAGAAATCCCTACAATATATATATATATATACATACATATATATATATATATATATATAATACATAGTTAATCGATTTTAAGAATCGATTATGTAATGTAATAAATATTTTAACAAAAATACCCAACAAGAAAATATTTTATAGTCTATTCAACTGGATATTTTGACAGTATTGTGGTACTTTGATGATATCAGATTGGTAATACCATGGCATTTGATATATGCCATAATACCGAATGATTACCATATCTATAAACTTTTCAATTTTCATGGTAATACTTTAGCATTAGCAGTAGATGTCCAAAACCATGGTAGTACCATGGTACCATGTCTAATTTACTACTATATAGGCCTACTGTAATTGACAGCTATTCTTTAACAGCTATTCAAGCAGTAGAAATCCCTCAGACTTGTGTGTCAGCACAACCTGAATGAACCGCCACAAACTAGCATGGCATAGCTCTGACTTTTTAAAACTGAAAATAGGTTTATATCTTTGCTTTACACAGGTAATATTGTGCTAAGAAAGAAAAAAAGAGTGTGTTTACCTGTGAAATGTGTCCAGGTGAACTGTTTTCTCCCGTCTGTGTTTAGCGTAGCTCTCCTGTGCTCCTCATGGTACATGTATCGACCAGCGTGGCATCTTCTGCTTCCAGCTCCTCTGCAGAGAGGTACAGAAAAGTATGAAGCAAGCTGTAATTTCATATAATTACCATTTACCGCATGCGTATTGCTCATGCAGCCTTGGATTCTAGTGAATCGATTCATTCAAGCACATTTACAAAAAATGATTCACCAGACCGAGAAGATTTGTCATATTAAAAAGATCTCCTACGACTCCTATTTCTTTCGATGAGGCGAAACACCTCATCCGTCCAAATTCATTCCTTCCATTGGTGAAATGCTGGGAGAAAAATGCACATTTCAGACCTCACAGGCCATGTTTCAGTGAATAAATAACATCTTCTTTGAGTGATGTAGTAATCACTGTCAAATTACTGCTCAAGCGTGACATGCGCAGACAAGCAAGACAGATCAAAAACCCAAATGTGACAGACATCAACTTACACCCCAGACCCAAACCATCCGACTGCCACAACATACACAAGCCTCTAATAAATTGCTTTGGATCACAGCCTTTCTGTGTGGCTTGCAGAGGTGGTCTAAGAAATCCTCAGCCACTGACCTCAAACTCATTATCTGTGATAGAGACAATTTAACACGTTCCTTCTGGCATAGCCGGTGTTATCACACTGACACAAAGAGCCAAGCCAGGCGGTGCTCTCCTTCCAAAACAGTCTGCTTTCATATGGTAACAGTTTCTGAGTGACATGGGTTTCAGCGTGTAACGTGAGCCCTTCCAAAGCGCACATACGCACGGCCTTATCTGCAGCCTCCACAGGGCTATGGATTCCAGCGCCTGCAGGGCAGCTTTTCTTTAAGCACTCATGTGTGGCAGAGCTCAGAGATGAAGTGTGGCTTTGTGCTGGCCCTGGGCCTGTGGACTAGTAGTCTGTGCACAGGCAGCATCCACTTTAGTGCACACTGAAGACTCGTGCTATAGTCCACATAGTTTCACGAAAAGCTGTCACATGACATTACATAAAATGAAAATCATTGCGATTTAGGATGAGGTGAAAAGGCAGGCATGTTCGGACCATCCTGTCAAAAAAGAAGCTAGTCAGATGAAACGTATCTTAAAAGTAAGAAAAATACTCAGATGGAAAACATGGGTTTAATTCAGCAATTCAAAGTTGCAAATAAATGAACTCAATCTAACAATCCATAAAAAGGAATTACTAAATTATCTAAATTACAGTGAAATTCCCCCTTTTTTTTTTTTTGGCAGTTTTCCTTATTTCTACACAAACGTGTGTGAATTGGTACAGTACGAGTTCCAATGGCGTGCATCGATTCCCAAACACCCGGATCCTCCGGTCCGTCCGCTGCTGCAGGTCGTCTCAAAAAAGTACTGCTTTTTCTTGGAGTTGTTGATGATAACATCAGGCAAGACTGTGACCTCGTTGCCCGAGATGTCTGTAGCTTTGGTTTTATTTCCCTCCCAAGTGCTAACGCTCTCGCAGACGGAGTAAACTCCGCGGTGTTGAGGTGCTCCTGCTTTTCTCTTCGCTCTGCTCCTCGTCTGGTGCCCAGCGGGCTCTGAGTCGGGGGGTTGTTCGCTGAACAGAACGCGGGGTGAGCGGTACCGTCTCTTGATGAAGAGTTTAGGATCCACGGTCGGCACAGGGTTGGCCGTGACATCATCCTGTCTGCGGTCGGCGTTTTGTGGACAGATGTCACCTGAGCGCTGGGCAAACATCTGGCTGCAGGTCAAGAGCAGCAGGGCTAGCATGGACCACCGCATGGGCTCAACGTGACCTGAGTACGGCACAGGTTAATGTTAGCTTTCATCACACAGAATAGTGGTAACATACAAATATAATGCCAGATTTCTTTCGATTTTCTTCTGCATAGCGATGCACAGACACTTTGGCTGATATAGGTATACAGTACTTGGCAGCCAAAGAAATGTAGATCAACAACATGACGGTTGATATCTGTAGATCTACAGTTTTAGCATTTTTTTAAAATGGAAAAAAAAAGCTCAATAAAGCCCCAATCTACAGTTTAACATGCTGAAATATTTGTTATTGAAGAATTTTTTTTTTTTTCTTTTTTTTTTTTTTGGTACTTGTTTTCAAGTAGTGAAATCAGGCATCAAAACATTATAATGTGCAATAGAATAGAATAACTGTTGGTACTTTTTCTAACTGCACAGACAAAATTTGTCCAGAAACTGTTTAATTCTGAAAAATAAGAGTATTATCTACTTGTAATACTGGCTGATTCATATATTTAAAATAATTAGTATTTATATAAAAAAAATACTTAATATTAAAATATTTTCAAATACAAATATTAAATTGTTCTCTACTTTTATGTAGACAGTTATTTATATTATATTGATGGTCATATGTACATTTAAAAAATAAAATAACTAAAATATTTTACATAATTATATTAAAAAGATATTCATATATACATACATATGTGCACACACATCATCATCATCTGTAGTTGAAAATCTTTGTATATATATATATATTGTAATGACTTTGATTACTTAATTTTAACTGTAGGGAATTAATTATTATTAATTCATTCAGGTTTTGATAGGACTCGGATCTGAATATTCAAAGTCCACCTGATTAAACCGATTTCAAACCTGTTATGTTACACTTTAAATCAAGGATCGTCCAGCGAGCCGTGACATCAGTATATTTTAACAAATCAAATATGTGTTTTACCTGGCCATGGGTTAACACAATTATGTAAGCTCTTAGAGGTAATTATTAATAGTACGCTACGAGCTAGGTAGCAAGCAAGGATCTTTTTGGCAACAGTTTTAACCTTGAAATTATATGACACCAACAATGATTCTTTATAAATGAAACATGAATTTATTTGCTATTCTAGATTTACATCACAACTAAGCTAAACACATACACACACAAACACATATCCAGTGTCGTTTTCCATTCGTGTCTCTCCAGCCGGTCCTGTGTCGTTAACCATTAATCCCTCCAAAAAAAAAAGAAAAACAAAAAAAAAAAAAAAAGGAATTTCACTGTAATTTAGAATATTGGAAAATTGCTAAATATTTTTTTGAAAATGTGTAATGAAATTGTAAAATTAAAATTAATACATATCTATGTTTGTGTAGTCTTCATATTTTTACATAATTTTTTTTACGTATATATATATATATATTGCTCAGGCCCCTCCTTCCATGTAAGTCTATATCATTTTCCACTTGTTCTATCATCTGCCAGGAGGAAATCATAAATCTTATGGCATATATACAGTATTCATATACTGAGTTTTATAGTTAGAGAAGGAAATATGTTAGGATATAAAGAACATTTATTTAGGCAGCTTTGCCTCATTGAAAAAGCTGATCAGACAGCAATTAAAAATAATGACTGAAGTATTTAATTGTCACCATAATAGTTTATCAATGCTTCACTGACAAATGTATGATTGTTAATAAAACCAACCAAGGACATAATGCAGACAAACACACTCACATACACACATCCAGATGGCTGGCTGTATTAAGTTTGTTATGAAATGGTGTGAAAGACTTATCGCTGGTGTTATTGACAACAAATGATGATGAATCCAGATGGGGGCATATAATCAGCTCTGGATATATAACTGGACATTATTGTACCATCACATAAACACCCTGTTAGCACCCTGTTCAGCGAAGAAAGATATCAATATCTCATCTTCATTAGACATAAACATACATGTATGACTTACATGTGAAACATGATCAAACCCCTGACCTTAAGTTTGAAACTTTGGTGAGTAACACCATTTGTGCTACAGACATAAATGATATCATGCAGCTCATGAGATGTGTCATTACTTTTCTAATGAAAAAATCCAGGCCTAAAATCCGAGCCCATGACTCCCAAGTTAGTGTCAAGAGTAATCAGAAATATTTATCATAATGGTACATATACATAATTAAAGGAACAGTTCACCCCCCAAAAAAAAATTATGAGAATTTGCTCACCTTCAGGCCATCCAAGATGGGGATGAGGTTTTTTCTTCATCGGAAGAGATTTAGAAATTTAGAATTGCATCACTTACTCAACAATGGATCCTATGCAGTGAATGGGTGCCGTCAGAATGAGAGTCCAAGCAGCTGATAAAAACATCACAATAATCTGCAAGTAATCCACATGACTCCAGTCCATCAATTAACATCTTTTAAAGTGAAAAGCAGTGTGTTTGTAAGAATCAAATCCATCATTAAGACATTTTCAACTTTAAACCATCACTTCTGGCCCAAATAATCCCTGTTGTCATCTCACATCAAAATCCATCAACATATTTGTTTAGAACTATTTTGGACTGTTTTCACTTGCAAACAGAACTTGAACAGTACAACTTTTTCACTGGAGAAAGCAATATCGTGAATTGAGGACTCGTATTTTAGTCGGAAGTGACGGTTTGAAGTTAAAAACTCTCTTCTTAAAAATATAATTGTTTATTACAAACACGCAGCCTTTCACTTCATAAGACATTAATTGATGGACTGGAGTCGTGTGGATCACTTGTAGATTAGTGTGATGTTTTTATCAGCTGTTTGGACTCTCATTCTGATGGCACCCATTCACTGCAGAGGATCCAATGGCGAGTAAGTGATGTAATGGTAAATTTCTCCAAATCTGTTCCGATTAACAAACAAACTCATCTACATAGATGACCTGAGGGTGTATAAAGTTTAAGAAAATTTTCATATTTGGGTGAACTATCCCTTTAGAGAGAGATATATATATATGAAATATATTAATATAAAAACCTTAAATTAACATTGAAATAACATTAAAACATTATGTAAGAACTGAATAACATAAGAACAAGTTTTTATTCAGTAAAAAGTCCTAAAGTTGAATGCACACACCAGTGCATCTAGTGTTCTGCAGCCACCCAGCAGGTCAACATGATCAAGATGAAGTACATGCTCTTCCTGTGAGGACGGGTCACCACAGCGGAATGCACACACATCACTTCCTCTTTCAAAGCGAGCAGCCAGAGGCTGTATGTGTGTGATACACAGTGTAAGGTTCAGGCTATTGTATCAGACAGGTGCTCAGGCCTCTCCCAGGACTGCCTAAAACAGTTACATATTGTCTCTTGGCAGTGATGAACAGATATGACAGTTAAAGTTTAGTCAAGTCAAATCTATTTATCAAGTTTATACAAGCTCCAGAGAATAATATAAATAGAGAATCAAAAGAAGTAGCCGGGCTCAACAATGAATATAATTTTTTGTTCACTGACACAGTCAGGACAGTAGTTCAGGTTGCTGCTTGCCCTGACAACTCTTTTGCTGTAAAATGATTAATTCTTTAATTACATACACTACAGTTCAACAGTTTGGGGTATGTATGATTTAAAAAAATTTTTTTTTTTTTTTAAGAAATTAATACTTCTATTCAACAAAAACATTAAATTGAGCAAAGGTGACTGAAAGACATTTATAATGTGACAAGACATTTCTGCTTTGCATCACAGGAATGAATTACATTTTAAAACTGTAATTACATTTTAACATTTATTTTAAGTTGTAATAATATTTCACAATATTTCACAAATAAGTGCAGCCTGGGTGAGCGTAAGAGACTTTCAAAAATATATAAAAAATATCTAACTGACTCAAACTTTTGAATGGTGGAATTATTTATAAATTAATTATTTTAAAAATATATATATTTAATTTGAATTTTTACAATGAATACTAACAGAAACTATTTACAACTAACAATTTATTACAATATTTATTAGAATTTACATTAGAATTTACATATAATGAAAATTATATTGCAACACTGGCTGTAATGTAACCCCGTCACAGCTGTAAATTTCTAAATGCATTTTTGCTGGAAAATGAGGACATACATTCCAAAACATTACTCATTAGTTTATAACTTTTTACAAGTACTAAATGATGCTTCCAAGTCTATCACAAATCATTTAGACAGAACCTAATCCATGTCAGCCAACTAGATAACGTTACTGTGGAGATGTTGTAAATTCACAACAACACTATTCAATACAGCACAGTAAACTAAATGTGTATGTTTGCATAAAACACAATGAGGGTAACACTGTAAGAAAAAAAAGTGTGCAAAAAAGGGAAAAGGTACTGTTTAAGTTTACATTTAACATTTCCTTTAATCCTAAAACACAACACAATGCAGTGCATAATTCAAAATGGGTGTAAAACACCCTGTGAAAAATCAATAAAGTGAATTCCTTCATATTAATACAATACATCATACCCTATTTTTACAGACTTTTCTTAGAAAGAAGATATAATGACAACGTAGCACTTGCCTGAGAGGAGATATCGACATCGATATGGAGATATCCATATTGTTAATCTATGAGTTAAAGTTATAAAATTAAGCTAAGAGCAGTTACAAAGAAAAATAGAATATGTATATAAAAGTATAAACAAGGTCAAAACAATAAAAACAGACACTCAGTAGCTAATGACATCTATAAAAATGTTGATCACTCATTAACAGCTGTTGGATTGGTAGATATGTTTTCAGTGCATAAAAGTAACGTGTCAGTAAACAAACATTTTGAATGCATCAGTGGTCTCATAATGAGAATCTTTTTGATATTTTTTTTCGAAAAACACAGCTGAGACTCTCCTTTGTTTTCAGGCTATAGAAAACAGGTTGACTTTTCCCACAAGAGAAAGAGTCTGAGTGCTGAAATGTGAAGACATCAATGTAAAATATTACTCACATCTCCCAAGCGTAAAGCCAGATCTCTTCTGCACTTCT